GGGAGCGTGTCATTTGTTGCATGGAAAGCAGGATGATGAAGAAGCCTACAGGGACGAGAACCTCACAGGTTCTATATCTGAAGTGGAGTAACATCTTCATTGTTGTGGTTCTGAGGGAAGTAGATTATCACCGAGGCTCAGTTTCCCCTCCCATTACATAAGGATGACTCATTCTTTGTGTAGTTCTACATGGATATACATAAAACTTAGTTTAATATTGGCTCATAGTCGAAACACAATAGATAACAACTTTAGTTGCTGCATAGGGGTTTAATCAATAATGCCTAAGTAACTTTTCTTCCTGTAAAGTATAAGCTTTATGAGAAAAAGGGACCATATTTTAACTAACACAAGTACTGTTCAAACTTTTCCATGAAGTAAAAATGGAAGGATCACTACCAAACATACTTTATAAAGCAAGTGTTACAGTCAGCTCCAAGCCAGGTAGGAATCCAAACTAAAAAGAGAACTATAGACCAATCTCTAGGATGAATGTACATGCAAAGCTCCTTAATAAAATGTTTACCAACAGAATTCAACAACTAGACAAAAAACATACATTATGATCAAGCAGGTTTTATCTCAGAGGTGCAAGGCTGGTTTAATATACATAAGCCAATAAACATACATCACATTAACAGAACCAAAGACAAGAATCACATTGTACTTCCCTATGACCCAGAATATTACGTCAGGATACAGTAAATACACTTGCACATCCATGTTCATTTCTGCACTATTCAAAATACCCCAATTATAGAAATAGTCCAGATGCCTTAGAGTTGATGGTTCTCAGCTTCCTGAGTAGCTAGGATTACAATCATGAGCCAATGTTTCTCTGCTAGAATCATTTATTTTTGGGGGGTCCGATCGTGGGGCCTGAACTCTGGGTCTGGGCACTGTCCCTCAGCTCTTCAGCTCAAGGCTAGCACTCTACCACTTGAGCCACAGCGCCACTTCCGGCTTTTTCTTTTTGCTGATGTGGTGCTGAGGAATCGAACCCAGGGCCTCAGGCATGCAAGGCAAGCACTCTACCACTGAGCCAACTTCCCAGCCCCTCATTTATTTTATTTTATTTTATATTTTTGGTTGTGGGGCTTGAACTCTAGGCCTGAGCCCTGTCCCTCAGCAATTCAGCTCAAGGTGAACACTCTACCACTTGAGCCACAGCACCACTTCTGGTTTTCTGGTGGTTATTTGGAGATAAGAGTCTCATGGACTTCCCTGCTCGGGCTGGCTTTGAACCGTGATCCTTAGATCTCAGCTTCCTGAGTAGCTAGGATTAAAGGCATGAGCCACCAGCACCTGGAAAGAAATATATTTTTAATATTTTTTTGCTCTTAACAAAATATTACAAGCTCTGATAAAACAGTCTAATGATTTGTAGACTGGATAAAAATATGAGCTAATTTTAGCCCCCCTTTGGTAATCTGTTATCAAATCAGATAGAGAAGATATTCCATAGAAGTGAGCTATTCAATCCAGCACTGTTCCCTGCCTTGGACACAAGCTGCTGCTCCCTCCTCTTAGCACTTGCTGTTACCCTCATAGCTTATCTTAACATGTTCTTAGTCCAATACTGGAAACATGGGATATGGCCGTTTATAAAAAAAGATTATCCCAACCCTCCTTAAAAAAATGCATTTGATCTGGGCTCTGGTGGCTCACACCTGTAATCTTATTAGGAGGTTGAGATCTGAGGATCAAAGTTTGAAATCATCCGGGTTAGGAAAGTGTTTAATCACCAAAAAGTTGGAAGTAGAGCTGTAGCTCAAGTGGTAGAGCAAAGAAATTAAGAGACAGTGCCAAGGCTCTGAGCTCAAGTCCCAGTACTGGCATACACATACAAAATTACATTTGAGCTCTATAAGGTTTGGGAAACTATTGACATAAATTTTTTGGAAGGGATCAAAACTCGTGTATTTCTAATTTCATTTGTTGCTTTCATTGTCAGAATTTTTCTAGAGCTCAAGTTTTTTTAAGTGCCATATCAGTTGCTGAGTATTTTATTCTCCATTCAAAGTCTGAATGAGATGGATTCCATATCCGTCTGTCCAATGAATGAGCTCAGTCAAAATTGATACATAGTAAGTTTGGAAAATAAATCAAATTTTTACATTCAGTCTAGAGTTTAGTAGAAGAGAAAATTATTCTAGAGAAAAAGATCACTAGGTCAATGTGGTACAGATGCTGGCATAGAACTGGCAGGTGAAAATCCCTGCTTTCACTTTCTTGCTGATTGATTTTGGGAAAGTTACTGAACTGCTTTCTGCCTCAATTTCTGTGTTTGTAAAAAGTTTATAAGAGTGACATCTATCTCATAGGCTTTTGCTATGAGGATTGATAGTAACCGTTACAAGATTTCGGAGTAAAAACTACTTATTTAAAACACTACTTATTTAAAAAGCTATTTATTTAAAGCAGAAAATAATATATATCTAAACCAATTGAAATCAAAGCCACCTGCAGTCGTTATCAGATTCAACTTAGACCTTTTGACTATTTTTTTTTTAAACAGCACATAGTTTCTTTATAATAGAATGAATGATAAGCTTCTGACATCAGTTGTGGCTGGTTGCTGAGAGGCCACCCAGTAATGATAAAATAGCTGTTTGTTTTTTCTGGGGAGATATTTCCAAACAGTGGTCATTTAGGAGTTCTAACAGGCATGGAAGTTACCATGGAAAAGGTAAAGCTGACAAATGAATGATCATGGATCTCTTGATAAATTGAGTCAACTGGATATGATGCATGATTTTAGATAATGGAGTGATTGAGAAATAAACGGAAAATCAGTGCCTATAAAGAGTTACTTAACACAGCATTTTCCATCAGTTTCAGTTGTGTGTGTGTGTGTGTGTGTGTGTGTGATTTAAATAACTGGCATTGAGGTGTTTTAGAAATAGTTTTTGGGTCTGTATTTCATGCTCTTTTCATGATATATTTATAATGTATGATATATTTATAGTGTATGCTGCAAATAATATTTTAACAAAACAACCTGCCCCCTCAATCTGATTTGCAAATATAAGTTGCTTAAGAATTGACAATAATTGTATGTATTTTTCAAAGAAGGCAGTATAGTGTCCTGAGAATTGTCTTCTAGAAACTTAGTTTCTAAGTTTGTGCTGTTTTTTTTTCTTGCAGCAATATGAAGTATTTTTAAAATAAGAAGACTGTTCTTCACAGTTGTTATAATTTTTCAATCAGAACTGGTTAGATATTAAGGGAGACAAATGTGTTACATTGGCTTACTAACAATAGGCCTCATTGATAAAAGTGATTTAATGTATGTTGTGTTAATAGCTTAACCTCTGAAGCCCCTAATCTCCCATGGAAATATTGCTTTGTAGAACAAAATCCAATGAGAAGTTCTGGGATTCCAGAGTGAATTTGTACATTCCTTAGGGGCATTTTTGCAAGGGAGGTTGTTGTGTTTTAAAGGTAGTTGATAAGAGACCTGCACCACCAACCCCAGACCCGCACCACCAACCACCATCCTGCATTAGTCTATAGAAGGTATTTGGGTGTATGTACTCCTGTACCAGCCGGTACCACCATTTAGCCAAGTGAAGTTTCTGACCATTTGCAGCATACATTATAAATCAGGATGTCACTACCAGACAATCAGATTTGAGCATTCCGTGAACAAAGTAGCCTATATTTCCTAGGAATAGATCACTTCACTATGTTTATGTCACGCTGTCCATATGCCTGCATTTACACAAGTCAGGGTAACACATTGTTTATTTATTCTAGGAGTAGGTAAGTGATCTGTATATTTACCTAATTTGGGGTTCATTAGCCAAAAATTGAAGTGGGCAATTTAGCATGATTACTTTTATGGGGAGGAGAAGATAAAATTATTCTTCCAACTCTTGAAAGTGATTCCTCTATCCCTTGGGTTTGTGAAGCGATAATTTTGAGTCTTCTCCAAGTTGGGCTGGGGTTGGCTGTTCTCAAAAGAAATTTCCTATTTGGCACATAATGCGTGGGGAAGATTGCTGGCCAGATATATGCGGAAGCTTAGAGGATTTCCAACTGTCAAACGAGACCTCAGGAGAGACCCAGGAAAATAGCAGGATATGTTTGTTGAGTGAATGAAGTTAAGTGATACTCTTTCCAGTGACATGGGGGGTGTCCCTGCCACTTGGGGAATGTGATAATTTTAGGGCTAAGTTTGTACAGTCTAGTTAGTTGTTAAAAAATTGGTTTTGCTTTAAAATATATTTTCATGCTGGAGATATATTTTGGTAGCATACATAATTTAGAAAAATAATACAATAAAATATTTTTATTTGTGGAAATGACCTATTAGATTTGACATAGAAAATTGATGTTTCTCTTATTGTATATTTAGGGAGCTTGTAATTTTTTTTTTGATTTGGGTTTTTTTTTAAACAGTATTTTTTTTTTTCATCTTTTCTTTTTTGGTACTGGGGATCGAACACAGGACGTTGAACTTGCTAGGCAAGTGCTTTGCCACTGATCTACATCCCAGCCCTGTATTTTTTTTTTTTTTTTTTTTTAGCTATAAGTATTATTGTGATGAAAATATTTATAGTACTTAAACCTTTGTCAGTCCTGTGGTTAGAAAATTTTAGTTCTTGGTGCCTTTTATTTTCTTTTTCTAAGTAAAAATACCAAAACAAATACCTAGAGGTAAAATAAATCAAATAAATCATTGCTTTCTCCATTGGCCCATCAAGGTATCCTCTAACCTACTGTGCATGTAAATGACCTTTGTGGACACTGTCCCCTTCCCTCATGCTCTCCCAGTTTTTCCCTCCCATTCCCAGTAAATGACCTTCTTAAATTCTACTTAAATCTCAACAAATATTTTTATGTAATCATTATGAAAAATGTTTTTCTAATTTTTTAAACGATGTGCTTGCCTTTATTTATTGAAATCGTTTTTCATTTCTTCCCCAGGGTTTGAATTTCCTTCGTGAAATATTTGACGTTTTCTGAACTGTCATTCTATTTCTTGGGTGTTACAGAATGTGACAGTGGGCATTTTCGCTGTGGAAACGGACGTTGCATCCCTGCTGCCTGGAGGTGCGATGGGACCAGAGACTGCTTGGATGATACAGATGAAATTGGCTGCCGTAAGTAGGGATGAGCCAGAGCAAGGTCTGCTTCGGGTAACCTAAGTGTCGGGATTTCAGCAGTATCCAGTAGAGCTGGGAGTGCAGTCCAGAGCTGGACTCAGTTCTTTTGAGATTTATGGGAGTGAATAGACAGATGATGGCATCAATAATAATTTCACTCCCTTTTGAGAGAAAGGCTCAGGTTTCTTTTTGTTTTTTGTTTTGGGTCGGTTGTGGGGCCTGAACTCTGGGCCTGGGTGCTGTCCCTCAGCGCTTCAGCTCAAGGCTAGGGCTCTACCAGTTGAGCCACAGTACCACGTCTGGTTTTCTGGTGGTTTATTGGAGATAAGAGTCTCACAGACTTTCCTGCCCGGGCTGGCTCAGATCTCAGCCTCTTGAGTAGCTAGGATTATAGGCAGGAGCACCATCACCTGGCTAGGGGCTCCATTTTTTTTTTAATCAGTATCTTTCTTACCCTCACCCTATCTGTCATTGGCTGTTACTGATTATTCACTCTGGAAAATTTCTGAGAAGGCAAATGTAATTCTTACCTTTGCTCTTGTATAAACAAGGTTTTTGTCCTTGGCTTTCTTTCAAAAAATTTTTTTTTCTTTTCTTTTACTTTCCTTTTTTCCTCCCTTCCCTTCCTTTCCTGGTCCTTCTTTTCTCTGCTCTTTTCTTCTTTCTTTTTCTTGTCTCAGTAATAACATAATGCCAGTGTCAGTAATGATAGCAACTACCATTGCATAGCACTTTTACTGACATTTAACTTAAATTTTTAATAACAAACCATGAATTGAATACAATTCATTTATGATACAAATATTAAGATTCAGAGAAGTTGCTAAGGATCCTAAGGTAAGTAAATTGTGGAAATAGTAAACATTTGCCATGTTTCCAAATCTCGTGGATTTTTCCACTTTTGCAGGATACTCACATTTAATTTTTTATTTAGAAATATAATTGAATAATTTGTCCTTATTTTGTAGCCATACATTTATCTTTTATTCTCAGTGTGTGTGTTTTTTTTAATACTGCTCTGGATCCTTAGTTTGTTTTGATGCCATGACTGAGACTTATCTGACAGTAAATTTTTAGCAGACTCTACTGGAAAGGTTGTTGACTATTTGCTTTCATGTACATTGAGCAGGAACTGACATTCACTTTTTGGAAGCACTGTGATGGTATGAAGGCACAGTCATTTGCCATAATAGGTCCTGTTTTGGTCTGTTTTAGCCCACTCTTCCTGCCAGACGGGCTATTTCATGTGTCAGGATGATGGAAGCTGCATCCCTCACTCTTGGGTGTGTGACCAAGAGGATGACTGTACGGATGGCTCAGATGAACATCAGCATTGCCGTGAGTGTTTCTAGAGGAATCCTCCTCCTCCCCTTCCTCCTCCTCTGCTTCCTCCTCCTCTCCCGTCCTTCCCCCTCCCCTCCCTCTCCTCCTCCTCCCCCTTTTCCTCCTCCTTCTTCTTCTTCTTATTCGGCTTGAACTCTGGGCCTGGGAGCTGTCTGTCAGCTCTTCAGCTCAAGGAGAGTGCTCTACCATTTGAATCACAGCACCACTTCTGGTTTTCTGGGGGTTAATTGGAGATAAGAGTCTCACGGACTTTCATTCCCTAGCTGGCTTTGAACCGTGATTCTCAGATCTCAGCCTCCTGAGTAGCTAGGATTACAGATATGAGCCACCAGCACCCAGCGATGCTTTTGTTCTTGGGGCTCCAAAAATCTCACATGTCATAAGTTCTGTATTTTGAGATGGTTCTTCATGAATGCTCACCTGGGCCTTATGGATGAGGGAAGCTACGTATATTAGCCATCTCATTCAGAGCTTGGATCATGCTAGAAGTGTGTACCCACAGGTTCCAAACTGGGAGAGGTCCCTACTTGTTTGGGTGATGTTATGCTCAAGAAAGAAAACAAAATATTTCCTGGTGATGGGGTCTTCATCCATGTGGCTCTCTGCTCCATGTCTCCCTTTGCTCCTGTGCATTCTGCATTCAGACTGTCCATCCCTTCTCCCTCACCGCTCAACTGTCTTTCAAAAAAAAGGGAAGATAAAAAGGTGTGTTTGCAGATGGAGTGGAAGTAGGAGAGGGTAGGAGGCTCTGTGGGAGGCATTGTTGGTTTCTTCAAAAAGAGAATGCAGTAGTGTGGCTGGCTCTTGGCAAGTGCTTCATTCAGAGTACTCTCCAAGGGTAATGTTGCCATCTTTAAGATTTCACTGGCCCTCTGTGGGCTTATGCAACCCAAGTTTGTGCTCAGGGCCCAGATACTTGACTCTGGTATTATTAAAATGCATTTGTATAAATGACAGGAAAGGTAGTGGATACATCCAATGAAAGGATTTCACAGTTTGTGCTCTGGAACCCAGGCTGGAAACTTGGAAGCAATTCCTGATTCTATCAATTTTACTTTACTATCTATCTAGTCTTCTCTGTCACTGCTTGGTTTAATCACCAGCTTCTATCTGGTTTGCTTTATAAACATGTTGAAACTTAGCTTTCCTTTTTCATTTATGCTAATCATTCCATGTCAGCATCTCTCATCTGGGTGTCTGTAGCAGGGTCTGGACTGGTCCCCCTTCTTGTCCTCCTGGCTTGTTCAGGGTCTTCCTGACACTGATGCTGGAAAGATCCATCTCAAGCCCTTTGCCACCTCTAATCCAGGAGAAAAGTTCTGACTTCCTAATACACTTTACAATGGCTGCTGCTTATTTTTTTCCCATGGCATCCTCTGACCATTTCTGTCCTGAAATGTCCATTTTGAGGTCCAGATTGCTTACAGTTCCTTCTTCCAGTCTTTTGTTTCTGTGAGTGCTGCCTGGGTGCTCATTGCTAGGGGGAGGTGTCACCTCCTCAAGGAAATTGTCCCTGTCCCTTGCTCCTATCCCACAGAGAATGGGCCCCATGATACTGTTTCTGTAATTCCTATGTAGCTATGATACACTTCCATAATGGCTTTCTAATTATTCTCGCTTCTCCTCCAGAAGACTGTGAGCAACTTGAGGGGAAAAATATGTATTGTCTTCTTCTATTTTTGAGAAAGAGTCTGGCTGTGGAGCCCAAGCTGCTGGTGTACTTGGGATCCTTGTGCCTCAGTCTCCTGAGTGTAACAACAGGTGTTGAACTGTTTGACTCTTCTTCATCTTTAGGTTTCTATTGTTGGTGTACTGGTGGCACCTAGAATACCCTGAACAGATGTTTGCATAATGAATGAATAAATAAATGTCAGTTTTAGATTGGTTGATGGAATTATAGAAATTTACCTGGCCTTTTGTAACATTTGAATGAGCTTTTAATTGTTCCATTATAAACCTAATTGGAGATAAGAGTCTCATTCTCACTGGCTTTCCTGCCTGGGCTCTTGATCCTCAGATCTCAGCTTTCTGAGTATCTGGGACTAGAGGCGTGAGCAACCAGTGTCCCAGTCTTCTCATATTTTGTTTAAGACCACTCATGACAGGAATAAAAGGATGTTCTTTCGTTTTTGTGGAAATTGGCAATACATATTTTGATGAATTATATAGCAATTAAATGAGGAGGTATCTTTTGAACCTTCTTCATAAAATTTTGTCTCTGCCATGTGCAGAATTTAGACACTTAGTTCCTTTTAGAAGAGTCCACCTATTCTGTACTCACCATAAAAGTAAAATTGAGCCCATAGGTATATACTAGGAGAAAATAGGGAATCATAATATGAAAATATAAGAAATAGGAAGACTGGAAAAGTTTTATTTTCTATTCAAGAATTTTAAAATCACAATCAAACAAATGGATGGAAGAGACAAAGTGACAAGAAAGATAGAATTAAGCAAGTATAGAGGGATGTTTAAAATATTTTATGGGTCACATGATCATATTAATATTTGAATATTCAAGCACAAACTTTACAGCAGTCATTCTCATACAGTTTTGTGTGTGTGTGTGTGTATGTGTGTGTGTGTGTGTGTGTGTGTATGTGTGTATGTGTATGTGTGTGTGCATGTGCCAATCCTTGGGCTTGAACTCAGAGCCTGGGTGCTGTCTCTGAGTTTTTTGCTCAAGGCTGGTATTCTATCAGTTGAGACACAGCTCCACTTCCAACTTTTTTCATGCTTAATTGGAGTTAAGAGTCTCACAGACTTCCCTGCCTGGGCTGGCTTCAAATCCACAGATCTCAGCCTCCTAAGTAGCTAGGATTACAGCCATGAGCCACGGGAACCCAACTTTTCTTTTATCTTTTAGGAAGGTTTTTCTTGTTTAGCTTTCATGCCACATCACTTAACAGATGAATTTTTTTTTTTACTCCAGAAAACCAAGTTTTGCTAAACCTTATTTCTTTAGTATCTACAAAGTTCTACAAAAATGCAGAGGAACACATTTTTTTTCCATCAAAGATTATATTCTTCTTTAAAATGCCTCTCTCCTCTCTCTTTTTGCTGATCCTGGGGTTAGAATTCTGGGCCTGGGCATTGTTCTTGAGTTTTTTCACCAAAGGCTAGCACTCTACCACTTAGGCCATAGCTCCAGTTCTGCATTTTTGTGGCTAATTAGAGAAAAAAGTCGTACAGCTGGCTTTGAACCATGATCATCAGATCTCATCCTCTTGAGTAGCTAGGATTATAGTCATGAGCCACCAGCACCTGGCCTCTTCTATTATGTGCGATCTCTCTCTCTCTCTCTGTATTATTATTATTATTTTTTTTGCTGGTCCTGGAGCTTAACTCAGGGTTTGGGTTCTGTCCCTGAGCCTTTCTGTGCTCAAAGCCAGTGCTCTACCACTTGAGCCATAGTGCCACTTCCTGCTTTTTTTGTTTATGTGGTACTGGGGAATTGAACTCAGGACTTTATGCATGCTAGGCAAGCACTCTTCCACTAAGACACATTTCGAATCCTTTCTCTCTCTTAAAAATATTCTTTTATTGTTATTACTAAGGTGTTATACAGAGTGGTTACCATTTCATAAGCACTTCTCTTTTTTATGTGGACAATTAAAAGAATGATAGGATACTGTTATGAAGTTGAAGTATTTCCTGCTTCAGATTTGCAAAATAGTTTTCCTATGATGCTTGTAGGTATCAACTCATCTGATTGTCTTTTTCCAGAGGCTCATGTGATGAATTGTTAAAGCTTATCTGTATAGAATATAGAATATAAATATCCATAAAGAATATAGAATATCCATATAGAATAAAGTCATGCTTTGTGGCACATGATCAATGTTACAGAGTTTATAAAATAGAGAATGCAATAAAGGAAAAAAACCATGCATTCTCAAATTCCTGCCATTCAGGAATAACCAGTTATCACTTTGGCAAGTGTTCTTGTTTAGACAAGGCTTTGAAGGAAGTCAGTGGTGCTTCTCCACCTTGGTTGATACCCGTCTTATGTCATTCATTGTCCTTGCCATACATCGTTCTAACACATATTAAACATAGTGAAATTGTCTACCTTATCATGTTGGGCATTTTGGTTCTGTAATTTTGTTTTTGCTTTTTTAATGTCTGCTCAGCTTGGTGGTAGCTGGTTGCTGCATCTAACGCCATGAACTTTATGTTCAATATATGCTCTGTTCACCTTTGCTTTCCACATCTTCGTTCATACTTGGTAATCATCAATAGATTAGTCTGTGTCAGGCAGCAATTATAAACTAAGTGCTGTTTTTTCTTCCTCCCCTCACAGCTGGGGTAACCTGTTCAAGTCATCAGCTGACATGCTCCAATGGTCAGTGTATCCCGAGAGAGTATAGATGTGACCATGTGAGAGACTGCTCCGACGGATCAGATGAGAAAGACTGCCGTGAGTCCCTCCTCTCTGTCCTTGTGCTCTTATTTAATTTCACCCTTGTCCTTTGGCATTTTAATCAATTTGTTAGATTTGTTGATGGACAAAAATGCTTACAATATGCCCCTTGTTGTTGAAATCTCTTGGCAGATTCTTTTGTGGATTAGCGGTGATGTTCTGATAGGGGTCTATTTTTAACCAGACATTCTAAGTTTGTTCTGACTTACAGAACATCAAATTTGAAGTAAGAAATTGTTCACATTAATAGAGAATTCCCCAAACAAAGGTCATTGAATATATGGACTACAGGATTTAGTTTGGCTGATGTTAATTTTCATTACATTGCTATGGGAAGTTTCTAGGTAAAAAATCCTCATAATTCTTATTCTTGTGGGTTCAGATTACTTTTGGAAAATGTTACATTTTGAAAGTGGCTTTCCTGGACTGAAGATATAGCATGATGGTAGAACATTTGCCTAACAGGCTTAAGACTTTGGGTTCAATTTACAGCACTGCCAATAAACAAAAACAAAAAAAGGTAACTAGCTTTCTAAGCGATTGCCACAAAATAATACATACAAGATGGATGCCTGTAATCCTAGCTACTCAGGAGGCTGAGATCTGAGGATCATGGTTTGAAGCCAGCCTGGGCAGGAAACTGCGAGACTCTTATCTCCAATAAACTTTCAGAAGTAGCTGGAAGTGGTGCTGTGGCTCAAGTAGTAGAGCACTATCCTTGAGCAAAAAGAAGCTCAGGGATAGCGTCTAGGCCCCAAGACCAGTATTAAAAAAAATATACATCAGACTGTCTGTATAATATATAAATATAACTAATAAAAATGTGGAATTATGGTGCATTATAAACTAACACGTTAGTAAGGAGGAACCTATCTCTCAAGGCTTATGTAAACCTAATAGAACACAGAAACTAGCCTACTTCTCAGTCTAGTAGTTTTTCTAATTCTGTCTTTAATCTCGGAAATAACTCAGTTTCCCTTGAAAGGCTATCATTTATGGATTTATTTGCAATTTCCATAGGTATTTTTCCCTGACATTTCTTTTGGCTTAAAACCACATTTCCAAAGATTTGTTTTTCCTTTGCTGTTGTTTATGCTTTAAATATCAAGGAGTTTTTGTAGTATTCCAATAACTGGTGAACAGAATTTGTTCCTCCAACTGATTTTAGATTATAGTCTTAGCCTATTATTATGGGATACAACCTCTTTGTTTGATAATTTTGATTTCATTTTAGTTCTTTGGGCTGTCCTTAAATTCTCCCCTTTGGGGAGGAAGCTACAATGCTTGATAAGAAATGTACTCATTATCTTGCCCATGTAATTGTAACCCCTCTGTACAGTATTTTCACAATAAAATAAAATAAAATAAAATTCTCCCCTTTGGTCCAAATGATATATTTTATTCCTCTTCATGAATGCACCACCTTGTATAATTTTAATGAAATGTTTCAGGTTGGGAGCTGACCCATTCTGCAGTTTTCTTGGGTGGGGAGCTGGTACTGGAACTAGAACTCAAGACCACAACCCTTTCATGACTTTTGCCACTCAAGGCTGGTGCTCTACCACTTGAGCTATGTCTCGATTCTGGCAGTTTTGGCCTATCAGTTGGAAATAGCTTTACTGCTTAGGATTGCTTTGAACTACAATCTTCAGGTCTCAGCTTCCTGCATACTAGGCATGAGCCCCTGGCACCTGGCTCCTATTCTGTATTGTTAATGGAAGGAAAGTTTGCATTGTAAAAAGCAAAAGCATGTGCCTACATGGATTCAGATTCATGCTGCAGCCATACCATTACCATTGCTTGTACATTTGTATTTTATTGAATTTTTTTCTGGAATACTGGGGATCCAGTATGGTAGGCAAATGTTCATTCACTGAGCCATACCCCACCCTATACTTTTGCAATTGAAAGACAAAAACTTCTCTAGTCTTTCCCCTTTGCATGGTATTTTATTCATTTACTTATTCATTCATTCATTGATTTATTCTTTGAGAGCAAGTATAGGCTATTTGTCTTTCCATTTCCCATAAAAGAGTTCTTGGTATAGTTATATTCTGGGATGATTTCCATCATACATGCTCTCTTTTGAAAGAGATATGGTGAGAGAGCATTCATAGACAACACTGGCAATTGTAGAGAAGGCAGTATGTGTCTAGAGACTACATGTGTCATTGAAATGAAGAAAATAATTTGGATTAACAGTGGTGATAAATGATATGTTTTATATCATTTTGTAATTTCAGACCATCATATAAATTCCCCTTATCTTTATTAGAGTGCTGTATGAGAATAATGGGAGAGGCACTATTATACTCTCTTATAAATGCAGAAACTAAGCCCGGCACCAGTGGCTCATGACTGTAACACTAGCTACTTAGGAGGTTGAGATCTGAGGATTGTAGTTTGAAGCCAGCCTGGGCAGGAAAGTTCATGAGACTTTCTCTATGATGTCCATGAGACATCTCCAATTAACTATTAAAAAAGCCAGAAATGGAGATGTGGCATAAGTGGTAGAGTACTAGCCTTGGGCAAAAAAGCTCAGGAATAGTGCCCAAACTCTGAGTTCAAGCCCCAGGAGTGGCACAAGAAGGAAAGGAAGGAAGGAAGAAAAAAGGAAGGGAGAAAGAATTCAACGGCTGTAGACTGGCTTGTTCAGGATTGTATGGCAGAGCCAGGACACAGAATGTCTTTTGATCCTAAACTGTTCATCATGAAGGATTTTATTTACAGAAGGGGAAAGACCTATACCGGGTGCCAGTTTAACAGAGCACTAGAGGCTTGTGCCACCAGCCAACAGGCTGTGTCTTTATCCCTTACTTACAAGTGGATAAAAACGAATGTTTTATTGCAAATGCAGTGGAACAGAAGGTTGGGGAATGAAAGGCAGCTGAAATGCACTACTTGGAACTCTTCCATTTAAGCTCTCTGCAGCCAAGTCTAAAGCTGCTAGTACCATGCCTTCTGATTTAGCCAGTGGATCTTCTGGAACACATCTGGCAGGATAAGAGCCTACAGTAGCCATGATAAAAGAGAATGATAGGAAGCAACTGAGCTTTATAAAAAAAAAAATCTGAGTAAGAATCTTTAATAAAAATTTTTATTGAATTTTTTACTTTTGGTATAAGTAAGTGGTGAAATCAGGATTCCTTAAGGAAAGGAGCCAGATTTATAGCTCATTGTTTTTAAAATGATCAAGTTTTGCAAACTTTTGGGTTTATTGAGGCCCCAAAATGAATTTCACACATGTCAGAGACTTTACAATGAAGTTTTCTATTTATTGTTGATTATTGACGGATTGATTGAGGTTTGAACTCAGGACCTTCCTCATCCCTGCTAGATACCACTTGAGTCACACTCCATTTGCAATGAATTATTTTTCACTGTTTCCCTCAGCCATATTTATTTGTTGCTATGTTTTATTTTGGATGAGTATTGTGGAATGCTCATAAATCAGAGGAAATTGAGAAAACAGCTCTTCAGATTTCCTTGTTAGGGCTTAGATCTGGTCATAGCCAGATATGTACAAGGATATGAATGGGGGCTGGAAGTGTGGCTCAGTTGGTAGAGTACTAGCCAAGGGTGATAGAATGAGGTACTGAATTCAAGTCCCATTCTCTGAAAAAGAAAAAAAGAAAAGAAAAAGATTAAGGAAAAGACATGAATGGCCAAAGTTCTTAGAAAGCGACAATAGGAAGGGGACAGGCTGACCCTATTTTGTTTCCTCTCTTTGTCCATAGCACTTGTAAAACCCAGGAAAGGGAACTTTTACTCACCCAGCCCCAACCATGCTCTTATTCACTTTCCACATGAGCACTATGAATAGTGTAATAGACACCCTACTTTATAGAGATTAATCACCAATTAAAAAAAAAGCAGTCCTGAGGGACATGATACCTTTCTTCTAAAATAGATTAGGAGCCAGAATTTTAACCTAGATTTAAATTACCTGCCCTCCAGATATATACTTTAGTATTTATTTATTTTCTTTTTTTGAAACAAGTCCTCCTTCCCCTCCCCCGCCATCAGCCTCTCACAGGCTGGGCTCAAATTCCTGACCCTTTGGAGTGCTGAGATTACAGACGTGAGCTACCATACCTGACAGTATTTTTCTTTACCCATGGAAGTTTATTAAGTATTTTTTGCCTAAAGTTTATTTAAGTGCTTTATTGCTTTAAAAATTATGGCTTAATTTTTATTATGGAAAGTTTTTAACCTATATAAGAGAAGTTGATATTTTATGATCTCATTTACCTAAGTCTATTTATTCTTCTCCATTATTTTGAAATAATTCTCAAAAATAATTTTATCTGAAAATATTTTAATAGTTTATGACCCAGCAATCCCACTTCTGGGCATTTACCCCCAATGATCACAAACAAGATACTAAAACTACCAGCATAAGTTTATCATAGCATTATTCACCATAGCTAAGGTATGTAACCAACCCAGATGCCCCTCAGTAGATAAATGATCAAGAAAATGTATATATATATATATATATATATATATATATATATATATACACACACACATATATATGTATTTCTGTATGATGGAATTCTATGCTTCCATCAGAAAGAATGACATCACCCCATTTGTTAGGAAATGGAAAGACTTGACAAAAATCCTATTAAGTGAAATAAGCCAGACTCAAAGAAATATAGGTCCCATGGTTTCTCTCATTTACAATGGTTAGTATATGTCTAGGATAATCTTATCAGATGAGCAGAAAAACCCCAAATCTATGTACATATGACCATATAAGATGATGCTAAGCAAAATGAACCCCAACATGTAGATACAAGAGGTTATTCTTTGTTGATATTGTGATTTTTTTTGTATGTTCTTCCTTCTATGGTGTATCCCTGTTGTCACTGTATTTGATTTTGGTACCCTGCATCTTGTATATACGTTTGTCTAGTTTGGGGAGGGGAAAGGGAATAACAAAATGCTAAAACAGGATGCTAAAATAGGATGACCCATTGCAACAATGATAC